GTGTGTGTGTGTGTGTGTGTGTGTGTGTGTGTGTGTGTGTGTGTGTGTGTGTACTTGCCCATGTGGGCCACAGGTCATCATTAGAGGTCTTCCTCACTACCTCATTTTTGAGTGAGAGCCTCCCACCTGGACCTCACCATTTGGGTTAGACTGGCAGAGCCCCAGGATCCCGCCATCTCTGCTCCCAGGGCTAGAGTTCCAGGTAAATGCCAGTGTGCAGTATTCATGCAGGCGCTGGGCAGCAAGCTTTCCACCCAATGAGCTGGCTCCCCAGCCCCAAGATACTGATTTATTTAATGGTAAGCAAGTCTGTTTTCAATGCATCGATTGCTCACTGATTTATTTAATGGTAAGGAAGCCTGTTTTCAATGCATCCGACTGTTCTCTAACTTCTCCATTTATTTATATATTTGTGTGTGCTGGGGGCAGGAGTGGGTGGAGTCAGAGAACCTTCTGGAGCTGGTTCTCTCACTCTAGCGTGTGGGTTCTGGGGATCAAACTCCGGTCATCTGTCTTGGTGACACACACCATTGCCCACTGCTCCATCTTTCTGGTCCCAAGACATTTACTTTTAATCTGCTTCAGAGGATTTGAGGCTTTCAGACAAAACTGCAACTAAGATAAGTAGATAAGAAAGCAAGATTATACTGGGCAGTGGTGGTGCACATCTGTAATCCCAGCACTCCGGAGGCCGAGCCAGACGGATCTCTGTGAGTTTGGAGGCCAGCCTGGTCTACAGAGTGAGATGCAGGACAGGCACCAAAACTACACAGAGAAACCCTGTCTTGAAAAATCAAAAAAGAAAGGAAGGAAGGAAGGAAGGAAGGAAGGAAGGAAGGAAGGAAGGAAGGAAGGAAGGAAAGAAGGAAGAAAGGAAGGAAGGAAAGGGAAGGGAAGGAAAGGGAAAGGAAAGGAGAAAGGAAAAAGGAAAGAAGGAAGGGAAAGAAGGAAAGGAGAGGAAAGGAAAGAAGGAAAGGAAAGGAAGAAAGAATTGGCAAACAAAGATAAGGGAGGAGCAACTGGGCTAAATGTAAGCTGCCGTGTTGCTGGGGGAACCACAAATGCGACTCTAGGAAAGGCATTGTGAGGCTTGAGGGACACTTCCCCGTTACATCCTCCTAAGGGTGGGCTGGATGATGAGCTGTCAATGTCCTATGACACTGCCACAGCGGACTTGCTGCTGCATCTCCTTCTTGTTGTCCCCCTCCTAGACCAGTGGGAAGTGAGTCAAAGGGGGCTGGGTCACAGGAAAAGCAGCTGTGCAGGGCAGGTCAGGCCTTCTGATGTCTCGCTGGGTCCGGGGACCAAATCTCAAAGGTTTACATCCACAGACAGGTGCATTACCTTTTATGCAAAACTTCCCCAGATCTTACTCCTTTTTATTATTTTTGTGTGCATGTTTGTATGTGTGCACCTGGGCATGTGTGTGCCACAATGGGTAGGCAGAGGTCAGAGGACAACTTTGTGGAGTCAGTTCTCTCCTACCACTTTTATGTGAACTCTGGGGATCAAACTCGGGTCTCCGGGCCTGCAGAGCAAGCACTTTGTCCACTGAGCCATCTCGCCAGCCCCCAGGTCTTGGTTCTGGCAACGGAACTTTCTATAAAACTTGCAGAGCAGCAGAGACAGAGCAGCTGTCTGTCCTGGCAAGCCCTGGAAGTGCAGGGAACCCGACAAGCAAAGGTAAAGGCTGAAAACATCCTACAAAACAAGGAGCCAAAACACATAAGGCTCCAACGATGGCCACCTCTCATGCCATCCAAGGTGCTCTGGCAAGTAACTACAGGCAACGCCTAAATCGCTCTGGGCCAACTTCAGTAAATAAAGGGGTGGGAAAAGGGGACTCTAAAGCTTCACACACTGAGAGCATGACTGTGATTATCTCTGTCCAGAGTGTGCTCAAAGCAGGTGTTTCCACGTGCTCATCGGGGCCACTGGTGGAGGGGGAATCTTAACACCAATCTTTAAGTAATATGTGTTTCTGATGGATGAGTTGGGAAACACATCCCCAGGTTAATTGGATGGTTGGCTCTGAGCGAGACGCTGTATACAGACCCTTGAAATGTTTAGAGGATTAAAGCGCTATGGAAATTCTAGTTATTGTTATAAGCACCCCATCAGTATGATGGTCAGTAAATGGCTCTGCTGTGCAGAGAGCTGAAAAATACTTCGAGTTTCTGTTATCGCTGATGTTCTCCCATAGGGAAACCTGCACCCACCTCGTCCACGGATGGATACAGGGCAAAGATCTCAGCCTGCCGATTGGTCTTGCGCGCCTCCTCTTTCTCCTTCTCAAAGTCCTCGGCACTCACAAGCTGCAGCAGGTTCTCCAGCCGCTCATCAGGCTGCAGGCTGCGGAGGTCGAAGTCACAAGTGGTGAGGGGGCCCTTCCCAGACACATCACACAGCACGTTTAAGCGACGGGGTCCTGTCTGTTAGAGAAAACAATTGACCTTGGTGAGGGTCAAGGGGCACAAATGAGAACTAGGCTCCGGGATGATTCAAGACTGCTTCAGCTAGGGTCTCTAGAATCTCAGGGCTCAAGGAGGTTTTTTGTTTGTTTTGTTTTTAACAAAATAAGGACTTGACACAACTGGTCTTTGCTTCCTGGTGGGACTATCCTGAAGTGAGAGGTTCTTTTCCTGGAAGTATATCATTAAGCATCAGTTGGACAAGCCAGTCCTGAGCAAGGATTTGAAATGATGCTGTGTTCCTATTGGTTGTTGGCTGAAGCCAAGTCTCTTAGGAAGCACACTCACATCTCAGCCTGGAGCAAAACAGAGTTGGGACAAGGTATAGCACTAGGAGCCTGGACCTTTTCCTAATCAACTCCAGAGCTTGGGTTTTAAGGTTAGAAAATAAAATGAACTCTAAGGAGCCGTCAAAAAATGCATATCTACTCTAAAACTGAGTGTTAAGCTTACAAATAAAGATAGGTGGGGTTGGGGTACAATTAGTCACTGCAGTGGGGTCTGTGTGAGGCTGGGTGCCTCATACAAGTAACCACAGGACTTTAGTAATGGTTACAGGAGCAAGCACCAACACAGCAAAACTGCATTGGCTATTTGTATTCTCACCTATAATGTGAGCCCCACGGACTAGCACACCAACATTAAAAAACAAACAAAAAACAAAAAACAAAAAATCCAAAACCAAACATGTTTGGATCATTGCTAGTTCTTCTACATTTCTGTTGTAAAATACATATAGTATGAAACATACCCTCTCAGTCATTTTTTGGTAGAGTTAAGTACATTCATACTTGAGTACAACTATACTCATTGTCCATCTTCATGATTCTTTTCATCTTGCAAAACTGAAACTATACCCATTCCCCTCCAGTTGCCAGGCAACCACATTTGATGCTCCACTCTTCCACAATGGATACCTGGACTGCTTCCATCTTTAGGCTACTGGGAGTAATGCTTCTGTGGACACGGGTACATACAGCATCGAATCATAAAGTAACCATTTTATGAAAATAATGGCAACAGCAATAATAGTAGCCAGCATTTATTGGGTACTGGCATTGTTGGCATAAGTGAAGCTGGCATTGCTTAAAGTCTTTACACATTCTGACTCACTCACTCCTCACATAACCCCATGAGATGCTTAGTGCCATCCTTGGTTTCCAGGGAAGAAAACTATAACCCAGAAAGGTTAATGATAGGGCCTGGGGACAGGGAGGTGATGTGAGGGGACCAGTAAGAAAGGCTGGGCAATCCAACAGTGAAGGCGTTGAATCACCCTGGCTCTCATAGGGAGGGGCCACTGTAGGTCTCCCCCAACTACAGGCCCTTCACTTTTTCCATCTGAATCACTGTGCTTTGGGTTTCTATTTGAATACTGATTTCCGCAGCTACAAACCATTTGAGGAAAATGGCCACTGACTCAGACAGTAGAGTTCCTGCTCCTTGAATGTTCTACGAGTCTTACATTTATTCTAGTTTTTTAAAAATCGACAGCATGCCTTGGGCAGAAGCACCGTGTCACCTGGCAACCATATCTGTTGACAGGAAATACCTGAGCGGCTGGTTCACTGCACTCCAAAGTTTCTGACTCAAACGTCTGTTTCTGAAGCGTCTTGTGAAAATCTCTCCGTGATCCGGTTTTTTTAAAGCTGCAAAACTCTGAATTTCCTTGGTTTCTTTCATTGTTGGTATGATTTGATGGGGAGGGAGATGAGGAGCAGGAGGGAGGGAGAAAGAGGAAGAAGCATTAGATTAAAAATAATGGCAGTCAGTCATAGAGAAGCCTTCAACAGAGGACATCTGTGATGCCTCCATCTAATTACGCACCCAGCCTCACACAAGGCTCTGCTGTAGTGACTTCCAAACTTGCCTCCTGGCTGGCCCATTGTGAAGGCAGGAATGGCCTGGGAAAATGCCACTGTAGAGGTGTGGTCATTTCAGCTGGGGGGCCCTTGGCTCCAAGCTGAAGCTAAACTGTGACCACAGTGTAAGAGGCTGAAATAAATCTAGCAATGTGTAGAAGCGGCAAATAGAGACTGTTTGAAGATAAAAATAGAGGAAGCCATTTCATCTCCACATCAATGTTCTTAATCATGAGTAAGAAAAGCAGGATATAGCTAAGGAAAAAATATACAAAAATGATGTACGGACCAACACTCTTTGCTAACATTCATAGCCCCGCTCTGGGAACTTCATTTCAGCTCTGCCAAAGGGATGGGAACATAGGTCAGGGTCAGTGGCAGAGTGCTCTCTGGTTTTGTCTCTCTTTCATACACACACACACACACACACACACACACACACACACACACACACACGCCCCACAAAAGAGGTCTAAATTAGAATCACCAGGGCTATCACTGGAGAAGACAGACCATGATGGAAAACATGAGAACCCTACGTTAATATTTCATAACCATAGAAACCAATGTGTATATTCCCCATTTTTAAAAAATGACTGAGAGGCTTCTTGGAAAACATGCTACAAAGTGTATACACACTTAATTGGTGGGCTTTCTGCATTTGTTGTCAAGACCGCACAGGTTGGTAAAGGGACATGCAAGTGAGGTGAGAATTTATTAGGCAGGTCAAATGGCCAACAGGTAAAGCCAGAACTGTAGGAAGGCCAGCAACGAGTCAAACACAGCTCCTAACTTTCGGAGAGGGAGGGCACTGGAGGAAGAGAGTGACCCACACAGCAGGTACCAAGGGCATGTTAGTGCGCTGTATGAAGGAACCAGGAGACGCCCCAGTGCCTTTGGTAGGGAGGTCAGGATGTCTCTAGATTTTACTGTGCTCAGAAGACAAAATTTGTTTTGAGAAAAGGAGACAAACAACCCAGAAGCTCTCTGCAAGAGCAGCCTGGCAACTATTGCGAGGCTGCTTACTGTGACTGGCCAGCTTCAGGGTCCCCTGGCCACCTGTGTGCCCAGCCCAATCTACAGTAATAAGGCAAGGTGAAAAGCGGCATGAATGAGGAACTAAAAAAGAAGGAAATGGCCATAGAATAAATGCCTAGAAAAAAAATCAAGAAACGTGTCTATGATAATTTCTGATTTGAAGTTCCTAAGTAGCTGAAAACAAACAAAAATTAAAAATACATATCATATTGTTCAAAGACATCAATGACAAAAGTATTCCCGGGAATGTTTTAAACAGTTGCTTGGATATAATAACTATTTTAAGTATTTCAGAGAATTCTTTTGGTTCTAGTTGCTCTGAGACTGCAAATGAAGAGTGGATTATACCTGAATAACATTATTTTACAAAATTTACTTTCTTTTAACAGAGTTCTTTGGGAGAAGACCTGGTGTGGGATTTCTTAAGTCTGCCAACTTCTTGAAAGTTATTCTCAACCTTAGAACTCCAGGGAGCCACATGGAGGAGAACGGCAGGCCGCCTTCGTGCATAAAGGAAAAAAAAAAGCTGGGGCAGGGGAACAGCAAGATGGCTCAATGGTTGGTGCTGGCCACCATGGCTTATGGCTTGAGAGAGGAGCATCCCCAGGAAGTTGTTTTCTCATCTCTGTGCATAGCTATGGCCTGGACACAAATACCCACATTCACAAATAGTAAGTAAATGAAAAGAGCCGTGGGTGATCTGGTCCATGGCCTCCCCAACGTGTCTACACTGTGGGTGGTCTACTACCTGAGAAGAAGAAACAATGTAACCAAAGTAGTAGCAAAGACAGGCAGGTAAGAGCCACTGCCTTGTAATTAGATCCCAATGAGAACGCACTGGCCCTGTGGTTATTAGCTCTGGCAAGCCCTATGTGAACAGGAAAACAAGACTAAATCCTAACAGCAGCCCCTCAGAAGCAGTTCTAACCCCCACAGTGGAAACTGCAGTTACTCTTGTAGGACTGTCTGCTCCAAAGAGAACTGACTCAGAAGAAAATAGTTACAACCTCCTTTTCAAGGGAAACTTGGGCCATAGGGGAAAAAAATTCAACTTAGCAACTAGGACTATACCCACGTTAGCATGCCTCCCTCCCCACCTCCCCTACCCTTTCACCCCGTCTCATACATTACACCTGTTTCTAGGAGTGTTGACTTACAAACACGCAAACACACACAGGTGAGTGCACACACTAGCACACCACACACAAGTACAGACATGTGCCTGCCTTCATCATCATCTTCAGGTCATGTCTCTCTGCCTGTTTCTTCACAGGGTGAGGGATGGACATGGGTAAATTCAAAGGTGTCTTTCCTGAATTGAATTTTTGATTTGATGATAAAAGTCCACATACTATAGCAAACAAAATAAAATCCAATTTGCTCTTCTAAAGATCCTTTTGGGGGTACAAAATGTGTGTCTTTTTTTCTGTTTTATGCTAATAAATGCACCCACCTCTTCCATTTTGCTGGACTGTCTTGTGGAGTTCTTTACAAGGATCCCCAAAGGCAATGGCAAATCAATCAATTAGAGGTTGAAGCTCAAGTTCACTTCATAACCTATACACTTTTGCCTGACATTGCTGTCAGCCTTTGTGACTTTTGTTATGGAAAGTGGTAAGACTAGTGTGCCCATGTTGGAGTCAGTGAAAATTCTTCCCCCTCCTCACACCCCTAGGCATCCACTCCCCCATCTTAAAAGCTCAGAAAGTCACGATGCTCCCCTTGGAAGAAAGGGTAGCAGCGCTGGCTGAGGAGAGGCCGAGGATGGCAAGCATGAGAGGTGACTCATTCCAGAAGTGCCAGCATGGAAGAAGCCACCACTGAGGAGGTACTAAGACAGTGCTAAGACGGCTCAGTGCCTCTGGCTACAGGCGGCCCAGCCTACTCGCCCCACCCTGGCAACTGCCTTAAACAAAGCCCAGGTCCCAGTGAGCCTGTGTGCAGACCGGAGAAAGATGGGAAAGCAGACAGACTGGGAGAACAACTGTCCGCACAAAATGAATACAGCCTACAGCTTCCCAGGAGAACCCCAGGCTTTGTCTTAAACACCCTTCTTACCCACTCAGGAACACCCAAAGACCAAAGACTTCATGAAAGCTTTCTTTTTAGAGGCCAGAATGTGCAGCAGGCAGACTCTGGCTCTTGAGGGGGAAGGGCCTGAGTTCAGATGCTGGCTCCTTATGAACTAGTCAAGAGAGACAGATCTGGGCAGGTGGCCTCATGTCTCTGAGCCACATTTTCCCCAGGTGTGGAAAAGAGGAGAACTAAAGCTCAATTTAAGGGACATTTGTGAAGATCAGAGAATAATTGTGTCTTTCTTTTTTCCCTCCTCTCCCTTCTTCTCTCCCCTCCTTTTTATCCTGTTTCTCAAACACTCCCCCGTTCCTTCTTCTTCCTATACAATTAGGTGTTAAAGCCTTTAGGTATATTGGAACATGGTAGCTGGGTGGAAAGTAGCCTCAGAAGCTCAGAACTGGCACTTGAATCCAGGACAGGGTAAGGAATGCACTTATTATGAAAGTGCTGCCCGTAGGAAGTGGTGAATGTGGGCGCAGATGGTGTAAGATGTCAGAGCATGGGCAGCCTGGCTCGTGATCACCGCCAAGCTGGAGCCTAATGAAGAAGATTTATTAGAAGGGACACCTGATACAAGGTGCCAGACTCGGGCTTGGTGACAAAGCTCCATCCTGTGGAGGAACGTCCTGGTACTGTGTCAGGGAAAGGCAAGAAAGGCTCATGCAGGCAGGAATGGTGTGTCTGCTGTCAGGACCAGAGGAGGAGGAGGAGGAGGAGGAGGAGGAGGGGGAGGAGGAGGGGGAGGAGGAGGAGGAGGAGGGGGGATACTGGGGTAGAGGAGAATGTGGGCGATGGTACATACAGGAGAATCAAACAACTTAGTAGAAACCTGGAGCTACTTTTCTCCAGAGAAAGGAGTTAGAATGCCGAAAGGAGACCACTAGAGCAGACACCATGAAGCTGGGTGTACATGTCAGCAAGAACTCATGGTTTTCACTCTCTTCAGTGAAGGCCTAGAGGGGCCAGGCCTTAGCAAAAATGAGCATGCTTTCCACAGGCGGCTCGGCTGCGGAGCACTACTGTCCACTAAAGCGCAGTGGCATCTGAGAGCCAGGACTAATTCTGGGGGAGGAAGGAACAATCTACGAGTTCCTGGAACACTGTGGGTCAGAGAGCAAGGATGTCTTCCAAGACTGCTGGGGCCATCTAAAGAAGACCCAAGCGCCAGTCAGAGAGACCGAGACTGTCAAACCGAAGAGCATTTGGACACCAAAATAAACAACAGACACAATGAATTAACTCACCCAACAAAAGAGGAAATTATAGCTCCATATTGATAGAAAGAGAATGAAGAGGAATGGGCTGTCATCACAAACCCAAAGAGGGGAACATTCTAGAAAATAGCTGGCCCATAATCTCAAAAGGCAGGGAAGTAAGAATACACACTAAGAAGGTCCTCCAGCATGATTAAGACGAAGGACGTATGGCAGTTAAGTGCAGTGTGCAATCTGGAACTGGATTCTTTTGTTCTCTCCAAAGACCATTCTTCAGCCATTTGATGAAAACTGAAATCTGAGGACTATGTGGTAATGAAATATTAATTTTCAGGATGTGGGGGTCATATGACAACTATAATGGAACATGACCTTGTTTGTAGCAATTATGCACTAGTGTAGGTGGGGTGTGGGAAAAGCAGGTCAGGGACTTGGTCTCACATGGTTAATGGTTAGGAAGAGGTCTTTGCTTACGTTTACAATTTTTCTATACATTTGAGGTTGTCTGCAAATAAAAGGAAAGCGAGATGTCAGGCACATGGCACCGCAGTAAAAAGAACTGGGCTCCAACCGGGTTCCCTTTACCAGCCTATGCACCAGTACTCCAGCTGTGCGAGCCCAGGAACTGTCAGCTCATCTTTCCTTCCTGTCCCCCATGCCAGCCTATCTCTTTGGCTCCATAGCAGCTATAAAGATTGGTATCAGAACATAACAGTCCCACACTTCAGACAATTTTACAGTCTGGCTTTTCTCTCCACAAGGCTGTTGCAGCCCAAGGCTAACTATGACCTGAGACCCCATCCTCAATAAGCTCCTCTCCAGGTGTTTTCTAAAGACTCACCCTTAAAAACCACATGCATCTGCATCCCTGCCCCAGGTTCTGCGTCTAGGGTAGCAACAAAGACAGTCACCTGCCAGCTGTTATCATTAGCATCAGTGACAATACTGTCCTATGCAATGTCAATGAATGCACTGTAAGTCCAGACACTGACTTCATAAATATATAGAATTTAATGTCTTCTAATATCCCCATTTCTGCAGAACTACATTGTTTTGTAGGGGAAATGTATTTAGCCATCAGAAACAAGGACAGAGCTCTGGAAAGAGTGCATTTTAGTACTCCACATTATAGGATGCTACAAAGCTCTGATTGAGAGGCTACTGTCCGGATTAAACTTGTACCATCCTTTGTCTTCAGGGTTCTACGAAGTCCCCTTCCTTGGTGTACTACTAAAGCCATGGTCTAAACTATGAGATGGATATTTGCTTGTTAAGTTTAATCATCCTTTCATTCAACAAATGTTTATAACTTTAATTCTCTTGAGAATAAGATACCAAGGATAATTCCTAAGAATTACAGCTGAGGGTTGTACCTGCCCTCAGGGAAGTCAGTCTACTGGAAAAGACGGCACCGTTAACAATAAAGACACTTTAGACAGGTCACTAGGACTCAGTGAACAGTGTGACAAAAGCTTCAGGAGAAACATCAACAAGATGTTTTAAAAACTCACAGAAGGAGGTGACCATTCCTTGACAGAAGCTTTTGACCAGGGACTCCACACCGTAGGTCTGGAGCAGGCCGTGACGATGTTCACAGCCAGGTTACTGCTTGTTACCACGTAGGCTGATGAGCCTGGCTTGTTCTCCATGCTTTAAGAAAGCGGAGCACCTTGACAGGCAGCACAACAAATGTGTGTCATAATAAGCAATTATTGATCGGGGAGACATTTTTATGGTGTTTTGGGAGTAACTGAATTATATGCACTGAGGTGTTCAGTTTTTAATTGTTTACCAGTTCACTGGGAGTAAAAATGGAGCAATAAAACAGGTGATACCCCATGCCTTGATATCCCCCCTCTCCTTGAGCATGACCTTCCGGCAGAATCACCTTAATCACTCAGGACGAAAGACAAAGTCCAGGGACTTTTATGATGCTGCCCATAACACTCATGAAATGTTTCACCGTCGCCGTGGATAATACACCAAAAATAAACAGCACGTAAACATGTTTAATCACTGGAGAGTTTGACTCATCACCAAGACCTGGAAAACATTCCGAAGTTAATCACCCCAGCTTCATTTAGAGAAAATGACAGGGAAAACAGGGCTTCAGATCCTCACCATCCCCCAAAGGATGCTATCGAACACAAATCCACACAAAAGTATGACGGCATTATGAGAATTAGATAAGAAATGAACACAGCCCCCCACGAATCATCAAGTCTGTGCCTATTTTCAAAACACATGCAACAAAAAAGACTAAAAAAAGTGTTAGATAAACTTGGCACTGCAGACATGAAACATAGAAAGAGATCTAGTCAAGGAATCTTCCAGGCTAAG